AAGGTCTCATAAATTGTTCATGTAATTTTTGCATATTATTATTCAAATGTATATGCACATAACAGCTCACTTGTAAATTAAGGTATGACTCTGGCACCAGAAATCAATACAGAAATTCAGCTTTATAGTGGTAATACAAATAAGAAACCAAATCTGTCATAGGAACAAGTAATAGGTTTATTCCATGCTGAAAAAAAGAAGAAAGAGAACACAACGTTTCGGCCGTGGAGCCTTCTTCAGGTGTGAGAGAGACAGGGCAGTAGGCAAAGGTAAAGTAGCGGGAGAACAAAGGTTGAGAGGGAGGAGGAGTGAGAGGCGGGAGCAGGGGACAGAAAGAGAGGCCAATCAAGAGGTGTGAAGTCAGAATGGGTGCAGAGAGGTGTGAAATGAAACTTCCAATGAATGGAGAAAATTTAAAAGAACAGTAATCTGTCGTTAAGGGAAGGGAGAATGTGTGATCCTAACTGCAGAATAATTTAAGTTTCGGTGGTCTTTCTGATGTATGAGTTCGGAAAACCGTCTTTGAGAACACAGACGGAGAGATTAGAGTGGTCGTGGCCATCAGAGGTGAAATGAGAAACAATGGGCTTGGAGAGATCTTTAATCTTCACAGCCCTGACGTGTTCTCTGAAGCGGTCTCCGAGTCTCCTTCCTGTTTCCCCAATGTAGATGGCAGGGCATTTACTGCAAGAGATACAGTAAATAAGGTTGCTGGAGGTACAAGATGCTGTCTGGGTGATCCGGAATTGTCCTGAGGGGCCTTGAATGAGTGTGGTGGTGGCTGTGTACTTGCAGGTGATACAGCGAGCATATGCTCATATGCCATGCAAAATAAGACATGTTCAGTGTAATGAAAGTCAAAATCAAAAATAATCAAAATCAAAAATCAAAAATACCTGAAAGAAAACTACCCTAAATAAAAAAACACCTTAATATTGTAGCACTCACAAAGGGTTGTCCAGGGTTCTGGCAATAAAGCAGAATGGAATTCAATTCCTGATTATCAAACACACAGGCTTCCAGCACTCTGTAGGTACTAAACAGCAGTGCATCTCAGTACACAAGATTACTCTCATCACCCATTTGCACTGCTGCACAAGGCAAGGGACAGGCTATCTTGTTACTAGATCAGCTCTTCTAATTCATGAGCACCGGATATGAAAACAAGGAAGTCAGAAAGCGGCACAAGCTAGACACAGACACCATGTGTAGCCAGCAAAGAACCATACGCAGTAATGCTTATAATAGCAATAACAAATAATTATTTACAACAGATCAGATTGGCTGATTTGCATGGGCTGATTTGCAGATTGGCATGGGCTGATTTTTTTTCACAGCCAAGTTCATTACAAGATACTTGTCAATTCTTGTTAACTTTGCTGTTTTCTGCATGTGCAGTTGTCTGTGAGGTGGAGTTACACTGCTTTTGTGCTGAGCAACTTCCTGTCCAGGAGACAGAACTGTAGACACTACTAACCTACATAAGAGAAAGGTCACAAGTGAAAGGAGGCCATTGGGCCCATCTATCCTGTTTGGTAGATAGTATCACGAATTGATTTAAGGTTCTTATCTAGCCATTTTTGGAAAGAAGGCAATGTATTGGTTAACAATATGGTTGAGTAGCTTGTTCTATACAGCCACAACCCTTTGTGTAAAGAAGTGGATTGAGAACTCATATTCTCAGTTTTAATATGTGGATTGGTTTCCATTAGCCGGTCAATGTAGGATACTTCCTTGAGGCCTAAGATGAATACGGTTGCTCTTTTCCAGACAGATTCCCGAGCAGAAAGATTGTGATCAAAATAGTATACAATTTCCTAAATAAGGTCTTACCAAGTGTTTCGGTCTATGTCTAGGTTCCAGACTAAAAGGAGTGAGTAATAAATTGTGATGGTTTACTGGCCTGTAGAACTCAGTTCAGGAGGGTTCGAAATATACAGCTTAGGCTGTACTGAGGCTAGTCACAAGTTTTGGAGAGGTGGAATATGTGGTGGTTAATTTTCCAGAACAAATGGGGATGAAGTTGCTTCAACAGGGTTGATCAGCTAAAATAACACTTAGATTTCTCACTTCAGATCAAGTTATGTGTCTGTTCTTGACAAGTCAAGCTTGTCAAAAGAACCTGCAATTCAGTCTTTAGTTTTATCGGATTTGCAGGAAATGTTTCAACAATTTCCATGTTTTAATGACAGTAATTACACCGAAGTACTGATGAATGTGGGATGTTTCTCAAAGATGTGTATTAAAGGTTTCTCAAAGATGTGTATCATCAAAATATTAAAATGCGGTTACATGATGTTTGCAAATAGTATATCCTAGAGGTAATAAGTGTGAATAAATTAATACTGAACCAAAAAAAGAACCCTTAGGGATGGCAACGTATGTATGTACAGTGGATATAAAAAGTCTACACACCCTTATTAAAATTGCAGGTTTTTGTGATGTATAGCCAGAAATCAAGATAAATCATGTCAGACATTTTTCCATCTTTAATATGACCTTGCAACCAACAAAATTCAAGAGAAAAACAAATAGATAATTATCAGGAAAAATAATTTAAATTAAAAAAACCTACAACACCCTGGTTGCATAAGTGTGCACACCCTTTTATAATGGGGGCTGTAGCTGGGTTCAGAGTTAACCAATCACATTCAAAATCATGTCCAAAGGTAAGTAGCATACGCCTGCCATCAATGAATTTGATTCTGATTAACCCAAATAAAAATCAGCTGTTCCTGTAGGATTTCCTTGAAACTTTTGTGGTTGCATCCTACTGGGGTCTGCAAGGAACTGACAAAACATCTATTGGATATTATTGTTGAAAGGTATCGATCAGGAAAGGGGTATAAAAGAATATCAAAGGCATTGGATGAAAGTGTGGCACCACAGGGACATTGCCAAGATCAGGACACCCCTCCTGATCTTGGCAATGTCCCTGTTGATGACAGGACAAGAAGAAAACCTATCAGGGAGGCTACCAAGAGGCCTACAGCAACATTAAAAGAGCTGCAGGAATTTCTGGCAGGTATTGGTCACTCCTTGCATGTGACAACAATCTCCCGTATTCTGCACACGTCTGGGCTATGGGATAGGGTGGCAAGACAGAAGCCTTTTCTCACAAAAAATGTCCAAACACGTCTAAAGTTTGCAAGAAATACATTCAGTCACCCTAAAACATGTGGGAAAATGTCTTATGGTCTAATGAGACAAAGGGTGAACTTTTTGGCCTTAATCCTAAAAGATGTTTGGTGCAAAGACAACACAGCTCATCATCCAAAGAACACCATACCTACTGTGAAGCATGGTGGTGGAAGCATCATGCTTTGGGGCTGCTTCTCTTCAGCTGGGACAGGGACTCTAGTCAAGATAGATGGGATAATGACTAGCGCCAAATATCAAGATTTGGGCACAAAACCCGCTGGCCTCCGTCAGAAAGCTGAAGAGGAATTTCACCTTCCAACGTAATAACGACCCAAAGTACACATCCAAGTCAACCAAGGAATGGCTTCAGAAAAGGAAGATCAAAGTCTTGGAATGGCCCAGTCAGAGCCCAGACCTCAATCCCATAGAAAACCTGTGGAATTACCTAAAGAGGGCTGTGCACAACAGATCCTCCGGAAATATGAAGGAGCTTGAACTTTTTTTTTGCAAGGAAGAGTGGGATAAAATTGCAAAGTCCAGGTGTGCAAAGCTGATAGATACTTATTCACAAAGACCTACTGCTGTAATAAATGCAAAAGGTGCTTCCACAAAGTATTAGTCGGGGGTGTGCACACTTATGCAACCAGGGTGTTGTAAGTTTTTAATTTAAAATATTTTTTACACATTATTTGTTTTCTCTCGAATTTTGTTGGTTGCAAAGTCACATTTAAGATGGGGAAAAATGTCTGACATGATTTATCTTGATTTCTGGCTTTACATCCCAAAAACCTGCAATTTCAATAAGGGTGTGTAGACTTTTTATATCCAGTGTACATGTGGAACAGTACATGTCCTTCCTATCCTTTAACATGGTCAACAACAAACAAAAACATTTGGGAGAACACTGCTCAGGTTCTGTGTTTTCATGCAGGTTATGTGCCAATGACCAAATCAGAATATTCATCCATATCATAGTGCTTTAAATTCTTCAGTGATGAGGTCATTTGCCACACAATAACGATTTACACTCCTTGTTTATTTTCAATGAATAATTTTTAACAGGTCCTTTAATAGCGTCATTCTTGTGTAATATTTAGTCAGACCAATAAACTGTAACATTACACAACACAGTGATAATGTTAAAATATAAAAAGTCACAAGTAATTTTTATTTTCATATTGCTTTTTTTTGCAGTTATCCGTTTAATTAAAAACTACAACTTGTCATGATTAATGAATATTCTTAATTTGCGCTACCAAACTAATGCCTTTATCTGTAAATGGAACAGTATAAATATTATCAGTAGACTGTCAGTAGAAAGATTAAAACTGGAGAAATATTATCAGTAGAGAGATTAAAACTAGAGAAAAAAGCAAATGTATTAGATATGTTTCATTAAAAAATCTAGATTATTGGATTTTGAAGCCCCACACAGTGCTTAATATCAATGAAGTAAAGCTTTAGCGCTCAATCTGCATGTTCATTTCCTATTTGCTCAGCCCAAATTGGGAAAAATCCTGTTCTGTGTCAGGTGCTTATGGGGCCCAACTTGTAATCTTAATAGGTAGCACACTGAAAGCGTCCCATATTAAAAACAAGCGATTTGTCAAAATGGCATAAACTCCCATTAAAACAACACGGGTTCTTCCTCTTCAGAGAGGCGTTTGGATTCAGACCTGAGTTTCCCCAGAACTACACGTCATTTGATGCTAGTTTAGTAAAAACGGGCTGGCTATTGAATTTCACTGCTGACTCCGAACGTCAGAGGACTCGGCTAAACGATTGGTCGCTACAATCACCTCAGGACTCCGCCGCTGTTTTCTTCTCACTGAGTCCTTTTGCATAAATTGCTACAAGCCTCGTGTTACATCTGCCGAGAGGAAAAGGGACCCGACAGGGGTGGTGCTACGGGGCCAGATAACAATCCTCGCCTCTTCCACAGATTACGTCTCCGAAATGAATGTCGCTTTTAAGAAATCAGGAAACCAGAGAAACAGCCCGTATGGTACCAGAAAAAAAATAAAAATAGATCACATTTGAGCCGTTTTCTTACAAGTGCAGGTCCCCCCCAACCATAGGGTTCCTCTCTGAGCACTGCCAGCGAACTGTCAGAGCTCCCTTCACAAGGGTAAATCGGAAAGTGCAGCAAGCAACACAGTCTTTTTCTGTCCAACGGCCCTAGACCAATGAGTACTGCACGTGAAATGTTTTTGTTTTTTTACGGTTTAGGAAAGGATGTCCTTCTTGAATTATGAGGCGTATTTGCATCGGCAATCTTATTGGGCGGTGGATGGGTTTGACGCGTAATGTCAGCTGTACCGCTGGGAAGGTTAAGGTAGAGAGACTGTAAAAAGGCAGTAGAGATGAGCAGCATCTGAGCACATATACACTGCTTTCGGACGAAATTCTCTTCGTGTTTTGGCCCGTTTGCGGAGTTGAATGAATACGACGCAGCCTTTCAACATCGGTGGATGGACGCTTACGACCATCTGAAGGGGTGAGTCCCCTGAAGTGAACGATGAAGCGTATACAGTATGGTTATATATTTGAATAGCTTTTCAGATGCTTTGCTTTTAAAAATACAGGTCAGTGCGACTGTGTGTTGTAATAACAAGGTTAAAAACGTTTTCTTCCGCTAATGTGGTATTTTAAGATGTGGAATGCGACCCTTTCATGTATAGTGTACAAAACGCCAAATTTGACAACCTCCGCAGAGGTGGGTAGCAGTCTAAGGTTACCAGAGAAAATTTCTCTGTCCCAGTGGGTGCAACAGCAAATTCTAAGCTGTTCTGCTGCTGTGTGGTGTTGTACAAATAAAACCACATGGTAAAAGAACAATCTTAAACTCTTGTTGTTTGAATTTAATGACCCCTGTATTAAAAAACAAACACTACCAATTGCTCATTATTGCCAATGAAATAATTATAGTATATGACTTAATTGGGAGAGGGTTAATTGTACGTTTTCCAGCACCTTAATTTATGGCAGTTCTACCGGTTTTTTTTGCAGCTGCTATTCAGAGACGTTTTGATATTATACCAGTACACTCGACTCCCATCACCGTTTGTGTAGAAAAATGCCACGTGATCTCAGTCGTATAAAGTACTTTC